GCGGGGCGGCGGCGCGCGTTCCCCGCCGGCCACACCGGCCCCCCTGCGCCCGGCGAGGGGCGTGTGCAGGGGCCTGGGACCGCGGGCCCCATGTTCACGGAGCTGAGGACCAAGCTGAGCCCCCCGCGAGGCCGCACCGGGGCTGTGCGTGCCGGCTTCGGGGAGCGCCGGGATGTGGACGGTGAGCGGGCCTGGACCGGGGTGGGGGATATCGCGGGCTGGGGGCTCGGGGACCGAGAGGGACAGGGGCGAGACGTGGCGGACTCCCAGCGGCTGCGGCGCGCAGAGTGGGGGCCGCGCTCTGGGTGAACGGGGTCTCTGGTGTCTTTGTCCTGCGCTGGTGAGCGGCCTCAGGCCTTGGGGATCAGCGCTTCTTGGCTTGGGGGAGGTGCCCGGCTGTGGCTCCTGTCCCCAGGCTGGCACCACCCTGCGGTCACCTTTTCCTTCGCGCTGAAAAAACCCTCCCCAGCCCTTGCATTGGGGCCGAGAGGGGGGCCGAGGCCACAGTTGGCCTTGGGCGCCCCCACCCCATTTCCTACTGGAATTCTGACGTTGGAGCTGGGAGGGAGGGACCGACCGGGGGGACGCACAGATGGACAGAGATCCCTCCCCGAGTGCGGGTAGGAAATGGGCGGGGCCCGGCTGGCTGGGGACAGGTGCGGCAAGGGCCGAGGCGTCTGACTGGTTCTCCCCAAGCAGTGCGCTCCTGCCCTAGCCAGGCCTCCCAAGAGGAGAAGCCTTGCGACCCAGGCGCTTGTATACCCTTAAAGGTGCCCGCCTAGAGTAAGTCTTCTTTCACCGTACTAGAAGCCACCTCAGGGCAATGGCCACACTGGCCACACCCTCTGTCTGGCCCTAGACCTCAGATTTAGTCACCTGGGTCACCCGAATCCTGAAAGTTGCAAGAATGGGGAGGGGGTGCTAAGTCGGGGGAATCTTACCTGGTGGAAGGAGGAAGAGTAAGATGTGGGTTTGCCTCATTACAGAGACCTCCTGGGCACATTGCCAAACCCTGCTCTCAGTGGGGATGATGGGGGGCTGTGTCCAGGGGAGGCAGAGTCTCTCACTCTGCTAGGGCCTGAGAACCTGATCCTGCCTGCTGAGTCAGGGCCTGGGTACTGTAAAGACAGGGGCAAGCCTGGGCCCAGCTTCCCGTCTTTCCCCAGGGTTCTGTTGACTTGACACCACTAGAGCCTTCATCCATCCATTCACAATGTTTCTGGGCACCTTCTGTGCATCAAGACCTGTGTATGGTCTTCGGAGAGGCCCATCCAGGTGTCTGCACTCCCTGACTCATGTCAGCAACGAGCCCAGAAATGATGGTAAAACTAAAACCTGAGGGGTGTGATGAAGTTGGTATGGAAAGAGAGAGCACGAGGCGTCACCATGGGGCCCTGGGCACATGGGTGCACCCTGCACACCTATGCTAAGCAGCCCATGCCTGCAGGAGCCCCCACACACACAGGAGCTGTCCTAGGCCAGGGGTCCCTGTGGGAGGTGGGGGAGCAGGAATCCCAGTTGTCGGCTTGCCCACAGTTCAGGCTTCTTGTCGATGAGTCACAGCTGGTGAGCACAGACAGCTAGGGGCCAAGCCTCAAACACCAGGTACGGCTGCAAAGACTGAGTGCCTTCAACAATGACAGGTAGATGGTGCACCCAGAGGGGTCTCCCCACCACCCAGGGCCTCCCAGGACACTGGGGCTGGCGTTTCCTCAAAGCAGGTCCTGTGTGTATACCCTGGTCTGGTGTGGCATGTGCCAGCCCAAGGCAAGCGTGAAGTCAAGGCTGTCCCAGGATGGCCCCTCACTTGGCTGCAAGTCTTAGGCTCCCTGGAGGCACGTCCTCTCTCTAATCTAAGCAGCACCCATCCTGCTTCCTAAAGCACAAACTGTGGACTCGGAGGGGGAAAGGTGTTTCCAGTTCTTCATCTTTATTCCAGTTTCCCACCCCGTCTCCATCTGGGTGGAGTCCTCAAGACAGCTCTTACATGCTTCCTTCTGCCTTTGGGGGCTTGAGAACCCCTAACTGGGAAAGTGGAAGGGAGACAGGCTAAGCAAAGAGCTAGATCACAGGGAGAGGAGCTTCTGGCCTTGCCCTTGACCACTCTGACCAGGCACCCCTGCTCCACAGCCACTGCCCACTTCAGCTTCTGCCGGACCCTCCTGGAGCACACAGTGTCAGCCGAGAGCATCCCCTGCCATCTCCCTAGGACACCAAGCACCAGCCTCACTTGGCATGACTCCCGCAGCCAGAGGGCAGTGGGTGGCCGGCCGGTCAAGCTCCTGCAGCAGCCTGGCACGGAGGGCCCCCAGGTACCCACCCACTAGACCCACCTCTGCTCCTGCCCTCCCTACCACCTCACTCCACCTGCCACCCCTTTCCCCTTGCAGGGCCGGCTGTACTCTGACCACTATGGCCTGTACCACACGAGTCCCTCACTGGGCGGCCTGACGAGGCCTGTCGTCCTGTGGAGTCAGCAGGACGTCTGCAAGTGGCTCAAGAAGCACTGTCCCCACAACTACCTCGTCTACGTGGAGGCCTTCTCCCAGCACGCCATCACTGGTGCCTCTCTGAGGGGCTGAGGGCGGGGAGGGCACAGGGCTCCCCAGGAGAGCTCCTCCCCCACTCCCAGCCTGCCTTTATTTCTCTTGCTGTTTCCCCCTGAGCCGTCCTCTCTTTCCGGGTCTTTGTCCCTTTACAGAATCTTTCTTTGTCTCTCCTGTGGCTGTTTCTGTTTTCATCCGGCTTTCCTCTGCGCCGTCTCTATCCGTACTTGTCTTTCCTCTGCCCCTCTCCCTGCTTTCCCTGTCTCTGAATCTGTCTGTCTGACTCTCCCTCCCTCCCCTGTTCCTCTGGCTCTCTCTTTTTCTGTCTTTGAGTCTCTCTGTGTCCCCCTCCCCCTTCTCTCTCTCTCTGCCCTGGCTCTTGATGCCCCTGGATGCTGACCTCGGCTTGACCCCTCTCTCCCCCCATCCCAGGCCGGGCGCTGCTGCGGCTGAATGCGGAGAAGCTGCAGCGGATGGGGCTGGCGCAGGAGGCGCAGCGGCAGGAGGTGCTACAGCAGGTGCTGCGCCTGCAGGTGCGCGAGGAGGGGCGGAGCCTGCAGCTGCTCAGCCAAGGTCAGTGGGAGGAGCCAGCAGTGCCAGGGCCACCCCGAGAGGCTGTGGGGCCGAGCTGCAAGGCCCCTGAGTGTAGAGTGGATGGGTTGACCTCAGGAGGGGTGGCTGTGGGACCCCAGTAAGGGCCATCCTGCACCCAGGGCAGAGTGGACAAGCCAAAGATCCCCACCCACCCTCACCCCCATCCACCCCACAGCTTCCTTTGGAAACGTGTCCTAGCTGCTGCCTGAGGCTTGAACCCCAGACCCCAGCACTGTGACCGGAGCCCGGGGCAAGGATGAGGCAGAGCTGGCTGAGCAGCCCCTCTTGGACCCTACAAGAGGCCCCAGGGGCTGAGCCTGGCCCAATGGACAGGTGGGACTAGGATTGCCACCTCCAGCCACCTCTGGTTGTGCACTCTGGGCTGTGCCTGGGATTGGGCGGCCGGGGGCTGCTTGAGTGTGGCCCCTCCTGCCAAGCCCACCCCCCGGTGCTGCTGGCAGCATTTGGGGCAGCCACCTGTAGCCAGAGCGGGGTTTGGATGTCCCCCTAGACTCCCAGGGAGTCTGTCTATTTATATTCCCTTCACCTGCATTGATGTCCGTCCCCCAGTGCCAGCTGAGTCACGCGTCCTCTAGGCATCCTGCCCTCTCCCAGGGCGAGAGGTCTGTCTGTCCGCCCACTCATCTAGTTCTTTGCCCTCCCTCTGCACCTAGAGGACTGCCCACACAGGTGGGGTAAACTGCCGAGGCTCCCTTTGGCATGTCCCCCTCCCCTGCCCTCCCCCAGGCTCAGCAGGCCCAACCCACAGCCCAGGTAATCAGCATCGGCATCCGCTCAGCCAGGCACCGTGCCAAGCACTCATTAGTTATGACACCCTCCCCATGTCCCCATCTATTCATGGGAACTGAGGCAAGAGAGGTCCCGGGCTTGCCTGAGCGCCCAAGCCCTCACATGGCACAATGAGGACCCCACGCCCAGCGCCCGGCACCAGGCTCCACTGTGTCTTGGCCTTAGTTTGGGAAGGTCTCCCTCCTCCCAGGGTCATGGAGACTGCCTTCGAGGCACAGTCGTGGGTGGGTATTCCCACTTCCCTTTTCCCAGGAAAACCCGGATTCACATATAAATCTGTTCTGAGGGCTGCACCCCCCATGCCCGCCCACTGGAGACCCAGCCAGCACCTGAGCAACCACTCCGTGGGCCAGAGTGCCTGAGGTTTGGGGCGGGTGCTGCCCAGGAGAGGGACAGTGAGGGTAGTCCTGGCAGCCCCCAAGCTCTTGCTCCTTGCCCTGCCACTCACCTAGGGGACTCTGAAAATCTCAAGGACAGATGAGACTACACCCCCAGCACCCTCTCTGTGCCCTGAGCTGGCTTTGGGAAGGGAGGCTGGTTGTTGCAGGTCCTGAGTGGAATTTGAACAACGGGCCTGGTGCCCCCCATCCGTGTGCCCCTCCATGGGAAGACCCCTCGTGCATTGTGGCTGCCCTGAGTGTCCCCGCCCACCTCATGCCATCACTACTCCGTCCTTTTCAGAGGCCTCTTCCCACACTCCTGTCTCATCCTCCTTGTTTTGCGCTCACTTTTTTATATTCTGACAAAAAGACCAGAAATAAACCTGGTTCTCAAGCGCCCCAAGTGTGGTGTCTGTGTCCGGGTACCCACCCATGGGGCGTGTGGGGGTGGGCAGAGCCCTGGGGGGGCCCTGGGCCCCAGAGAGGGGTGCACAGCCCAGCTGCCTCCAGCAAGGGCCACCAGGGGGCAGTGGTGTTGCATCCTGGCTGGGCGCCTGCGAGGACCAGAGGCTGGCTGGAAACGGCTTGGGACTCCACCCAGACGCACGGACACAGGTGTGTCGCGTTCCTGGGGCTGCCATAACAAATGACCACAACTGGGAGGCTTAACACGACAGAAATTGATTCTTTCGCAGTTCTGCAGGCCACAAGTCTGAAATCCAGCAGGGTCCCGCTCCCTCCAGGGGCTTAGGGAAGAACCCTTCCCCACCTCTCTCAGCTTCTGGTGGCTGCCTGGGGACTCGTGGGCTCATGGGCATGTCACTCCTTCCCTGCCTCTGTGATCACATCACCTCTGCCTGTGTGAGATGTCCCTCTGACAAGGACACCTGTCACTGGATTTAGGGGCCACCTGGATAATCCAGGATGAGCTCTTCATCTCAAGACCCTAACTTAATGACACCTTTTTCTAAATAAGGCCCCATTCCCAGGCTCCAGGGGTTTCATGTGGCTATCTTTTGGGCGCCTCCATTCAGCCCCCCACAGGACAACATCCTGATGTGAGACACACACAGGTCACAGCACATGCCCTGACATATGTGCCCACACAGCAACCAGACACACAAATAGTAACACAGAGGCATAAATGGACCACTGCAGTCTGGACATACACATTAACACACAATGACACCAGCAACCAGACCCACAACACCCTCCAACACAGTGTCCCAGACACACACTGACCCCTAACACACAGAAACACATGGGGCACAGCACACCCCATACAGACACACAATGTCACATGACGCCCTGACATCCAGACACGCTGCAGCCTGGACACCAGCTGCTGAAACCCAGACATCCCCACACCCTGTGTCCAGCCACCTGGACACTGACATACAGACGGGCATCCTTCTCACTTACTGCAGCACACACAGACATACCCTGACACTGTGACACCCAAACAGGACACTGCCTGAAACACGTGGTCACTCAGACACACACGTGGACATGCAGACTTACATGGGGAAAGCTTGGGTGGACCTCAGGGCACACTATTGACTCTCCAGAAATCGGGCCTGTGCTGTCCCCAGAGTAGGCACAGTCAACAAGGGAAGGACATGCCTCTTCCTCCTGGGGTCAGACAGGCCTCTCTCTGGCTCTGACTTCCACGGGAAGGACTGACCGACTGACCCCTCCACAGAGGGCCCCACCCTGCCTCTGCCTCTGCGTGAGCACTTTGTGCTGGCCTCGATAGAAGCAGATCCCAAAGGTCCCTGTGAGGAGAGGCGGACCCCAAATCTGCCCACACCTTTTGTGCCCTCAAGCAGTGCAGCCCAGTCTGCTCCAGGGTGGACAGAGGGGGTGGAGGGGAGTGCAGGGGTGGGGTGGGGAAGGGAGGTGGGAGGGAGGTGCACCTTGTTTCCCAACCAGCACTCCCTCCTCTGCATCATTAATCCCAAGTCCCGGCAGCGTTGGTGCCCCATCACCGGCAGACCTGATACCAGCGTCCCTGCCAAGGGCTGGGTTCTGGAGCACGGAGGAGCAAGGCACCGGCCGCTGGTCTAGGACCCCACCCCCAAAGCAGACAGAGGCTGGTCCAACGGTCAGTAACCCCAATAAAGACCATGGTCTCAAACTGCCCCGGCACTGCCAGGAGCCAGGCGATCCCCTGAGGGTGGCCACACGGCCAGCTGCAAGAGAGGCCGCATCCTGCTCTGCAGGCCCAAGGCCCCCAGGGCCCAGGAGTTGAGGGTCGGGGTACAGCCATCAGGTAGCTTCAATCCCTTCGCACTGGGCTTGGGGCAGTACCCAGGGCTCCTACGATGCCTCAGTTTACCCCACTGCCCGAAAAACGCCTCCCGCCCTACGGGCGACATAACTGGCCGCTTTGCACTGGAGCCGGGCGACGGAGGAGACCGACCCGGGACCGGGCGAACGGGCCGGCCCGCTGGGCCCCCTCCCCCCACCGACCCGTCCCTCCCCGTCGCGGAGCGGCGGCGGGAATACCGCGAGAGTTCGCCCCCTCCCCCCCACAGTAAAACTGTCAAAGGTGGGAGGGGCGGGAGCGCGCATGTGCGCAGCGCGGCGCGCAGCCTGCGCCGCCCGGCCCCCGCGCCCC